CAACAGAAAAAGAAATAAGTACAGAAAACAGTTACCATACTGATATAGACAATTGGATTTGCTCTTGTCCTGCCTTTCTAAATAATCCTTATCTCATATGTAAGCATTTAATAAAGAAATACTCTACGAAAAATCCAACATTTTTTCCTCGATTTCTTACCACCATGCATCGTCATGATTATCCACTTGTATTCGAAAAGAGCCTTTCAAGAATTAATTTGAACAATAATCTCTAGAATAACGCTTTGGAAAATGTTGTAGAATTCCAATCAGAATCGGGAGAGATATCCAGTACTCATATTACAAATGTATCTATTTATGAACATCACAACATAATTGAGAATAGAAAAATAGATCTGAAACATGATATGATAACATTTGAAAAGTTAGTAAAAATTATAAATGATAATATAGAAAACGATAGACTTTATGAAGAATATAGAGTTCTTGTACATCCCTTAATTGCTGAAGTTAATTCGTGTCAAGAGGTTCTTAATGCAAAAACACAGCAAACATCATGGACGAACAAGAATGGAAAATTAGCTTTTTGGTTACAATAATTGCTAAACTTTCAAGTATGTTATCTAAATATTTAAAACAATAGTATATTGTTAAGTTTTTTTTTTTTAAAAAAAAGTATAACGAAATAGATAGTGATAACGATAATATAGAAAAAATTAATATTATATAACTATATACTCTAAACTATATTTACATACATTGTGAAAGGGTAAATTATGACTTGAAATTAATTTTTCCAAAGTTGGTGAATCGGATACATATTCGAATTAGCGAATTTGGTGAAAATTTTTTTGGTACAACTTGATATAAAAATCTAGTTAGTACATAGTTGTTAAATAACCCTTCAAAAGTAGTATGTAAAAGGAGATTATCACCTTAGTAAAAATTTTGTATACATATAGTCGACATGTTCAACGTAATACACATAGTCTATATAATGTGAATATTAATATAGCAAACCTAGTCGTTATGTACTTCATAATTGCAAGAAAATAAAAAAAAATTCTTGGAGTTCAAAAATCCTCGAAATACTTGGTAAAAGTGTTTATCTCTAACCTGTTGGACCCCTTGCTTCGTAAAATCATTCGTCATTATTGCTATTTCTTGTCCTTGTAACTATTATATATTGTATTTTTGCATTAAGTAAGAAAGAGAAAGAATATCGATTAGTAATTAGATTCCTTATATACTAGCATAAAATGATTAAACTTGTGAATTACTTTGTTATTGAAAAACCGTTTCCTACGTAATCGTAACCCTGTGGTGAATCAAATTCATGATCGCAATAGCTGCTAATAAAAAAAAAAAGTAATTAGTATAGTAATAGAAAGAGTAAAACTAATAAATAAAAAAAAAGCAAAAGAACACTTATCTGAACCAAAAATTATCATTCTAAACCCAATTAAATGGCCCAATTCACTATCCTACTGTATTTTCCATCCCATCTGAATATCAGGCAACCTAATAAGCCACCTGTATCCAGTGGGTTCAGTGTTGGTTAAGCTAGTAGCCTTTTGACATCAAGCAACCTAGTAAGTTCCCTGTGCTCCAACACTGGTCTTGTGGCTCAGCTAATAGCCTTGAATGACTGACAACCTAGTAAGTCTCAGCCACGCCACTTTTTTCACCTGTGTTCCAATAAAAAAAGTCTACTTGCATTTCTGTATCTATCGATAAGCTCCTGTGCTTTTTTCTGCCGGTTACCTTGTTCACGATTAACTATTGTCTCTAGGCATTTTAAATAATAGTCTATCTTGATATCGAATGGCTCCACATCACAATAGTTTAAAGATATTATCACAGATTTTCCTGTTGTACTATTGTTTTCATGAGTTGACACAAATAAGTTATGCATAAAGATGAGTGCGCCAGGGCGACTACCAAAAGTACGGGTCAGATGATCCGTGCCACAGCAGGTAGACTAGTCGTGTCAGAAAAATGCCTCGATCACGTGATCGACGATCATTTCCGACCCCTGATGTATTCCGATG